ACGATTCAACTTTGGAAATGATCAAGCAGACAATGGACTCCGGACTAGGTGCGTTCCTCTAAGTCTTCTTACCAACACGACCATGTTGCGAAAACAAGGAGACTGCGACCACAGATAAGGCCACACCATCTTGGTCTTCATACCTTTGATAAACAATTACCTTGATTTTGGCTACATTTTTGGCTACGAAACCGGTCGAAATAGTTATAGTGAAATCTTAAAAATAAAAAAGATCATACCAGTCATAAACACCAGAAGTAGGTGGAGAGCAATGACAACACTTTAAGATATGGATAGATATCAAGACTGTCAATAATAATTCATGTCTAACAACTTACTCATTTTTATGATAAAGTGACTTTCATTTCGTTTGCCTTAAACAACATGAAATGTCTGTCAGCAAATAAAGCCAAGCTCCGAGGCACGACGTGTTTCAATAAGGAACTCGTGAATTCGTTCAAATAGGCGATGATCAGAGAATAAAAGGTGGAGATTTGCTCGTTAGTTGTGATGTGGAGTCGATGTACACCAACATTCCTGTAAGCGAAGCTACTCAGGCTCCAGAATTAACTTTAGACCGAAACCCGGATATTCTGAGAAATACAAATTCAGGCAAGGAGCCAATAATGAGCTTGACGAATCTAGTACTGAACTGTACATATTTTATCGAAGATATAAAGACCAAGATAGTGTGGACTCCAGTATGGTCGCAGTCTCCTTTCGATGCATAGAAGTGGGTTGACCTCGTTTTCGCTACTTGGTCTGGTTGTCAGGGCGACTTAGTAGAACGCGCCTTGTCCGAAGGTGCGACGAGGTCAGACAACCTTTACCTCAGGAGATTCATCGAAACCCAGTTACTCTTTGTATCTACGAATCTCTTGCTATTTCATTATAACACGAAATGAAGTCCTCTACACAAATGCTATCTCAGAGGACTCATCATCGCTTAGCTACTCTTCGTGTATCCAACAGACTTGCCGAGAAATGCCCCCAAATTAGGTAATTTTGCTGGCTTTATCGCCTCTTTTCAGAATGGCCGGCGTCGATCATTTCTGCAGGCTCAACAGCCGCTGGTACACAGCAAGTCTCTGGGGCAGGCATGGCCGTTGGCAAGTCTAGCCTCGGTTTCTACCGGTTGTCACCTCTCCATCACCGCGGCCAAGCCAACGGCCACACGTCATCCTCAACAGCCATTCAGCGCGTCGCCAGACTCCCAACACGTGGCTCCGTCGGCCTCGAACTGGCCGGCCCCGGTCGTCATAGCAACTGAAAATGCCTGGCCAGGCAGTCCGTGTCAGTCGAATCAGGGCTGGGTGCCGGATGACTTCTGTTTTGTGCCCGGATCGTGCTCAACCGTAGCCGGTGCCAACCTCGGCAGCGGCGTTGGCGGCTCGACAACCAGTCAACGACAAGAGCAGACTTTCGTGAAAGCAGACGCCAAAGCCTTCGAGTCCGAAAGTCGGCATACAGGACAGTTGGTTGCGATGGCCTGTGAAGGTACAGACGTCGGCAAACCGACAGTGTCGGGCATGACCTCGGAGATACCACAGGCCGGCCCAACGACACGGTCCTGTAAGATCGTGGCGCCAATTTTCAGAAGGTCAATCGAAGAGGAAGACGAGTACGAGCAGGAGAATAAGGGGGAGGAGGATGAGGAGGAGGAGGAAGAGAAGCAGAAAAAGAAGAAGAAGCTGAAGTCTACAGAGCGGCAAAGTGAATTGTCCAAGTGGAAGGATGGAGATGTCCCCAGCTCCTCGAGGCAGGTCAATCTGCCGGCTCGGCGAGGACTGACCGGAAGTTCCAGCGTCACTGGCATTTCCGGCCACGGGGCCTTGGAGACCGGTGCTATGCACAAAAGCTACAGCACAGGTCCCGGCAAAGGCGACTCTTATCTGGCTCTGGTTGCAGCCATGTTGGTGTCCAGGGACCCAGTTGACGTGTCCACGGAAGCCCTGCTGACCCGGCACAACACGGTGGGTGTACGTGTGGAGGAGGAGGAGAGTGGGACTGGCCAGTGACCCGATGGCATTG